GATAAGTATGGAGTGTCAAACCCAGAAGGAGCTAAAGGTAAGATCAATATTCTCTCAAGTCCTATCTGCCACTGGTACGACTCTACGTACACCGAACGTTTGCTTCCATCTAGAAACGAGAAATAAAACTACGTTGTGGGTATGAAGAGGATAGCTTTGCATGATATTGGAGAACTAAAATATAAAAATAGGTGCTGTTAACATAAAGTTAGAATATACTACAATATATTATAAATAGCGAGTGTGGAATAATGATGGATCGGTGTGCAAAGTTATCCTAGGCAATTGTTAACAAGATCAGTAATCCTTATTGCAATTTTATATGAGGGAGAGACATAAGCTAACATAATTTCTCTACTTGTATCATACGCACTTATGATTGGAACTCTAGCAAGCATCCGCAACTACTAAAGATCATTAAGGTAAAACCCAACCATAGCATTAAAGTATCAAGTCCCCTTTATCCCATACGCAACAACCCCCTTACTTGGTTTAAGCCTTTGTCACTCTAGCAACCCACTATAAGCGAATCATGAACGTATCCCAACGCACTACAACGGGAATCCCTCACGTGTGCGCGACACGGAGGGCACCATAGGGCAACACCAAAATAAAACATACATCTCAAACCAATCTAGATCATCAATCAACCTAAAAGACAAAAGAAATCTACTCAAAACATCATAGGATGGCAACACATCATTTGATCATAATATGTGGCATAAAGCACCATGTTCAAGTAGGGGAATACAACGGGGTGCGGGAGAGTGGACCGCTTAAAAGAAATGAGGAAGGTGATGAAGAAGGTGATGTTGATGAAGACGATCACCACGATGATGGTTCCCCGGCGGCACTTCAGCGCCACCGAGACAGAGGGGGAGAGAGTCTCCCCTTGTGCTTCCTCCTCCATGGCCTCCCCCTAGATGGAGAGAGGTTCTCTCTCTGGTCCTTGGCCTCCATGGTGATGATGGACCCCTCCGGGTTCCTCCTCCATGGCCTCCGGTGATGATGGCCCCCTCCGGCAGGGTACCGGAGAGGGCCTAGATTGATTTTTCGTGGCTACAGAGACTTGTGGCGTCGGAACTTCTGATCTAGGGTTCTTTTAAGGGTTTGGGTATTTATAAGATTTTTGTCGTCGGTCTCATGTTAGGAGGTGCCTGAGGGGCCCACAAGACCGGAGCACCCTTCCTAGGGGGGGGGGGTACGGCGGACCTAGAGGGCTTGTGTACTCCTCATCCACTTCCTGGCCTAGCTGTTGTGCTTCGGGGGTCTCTTTTGGTCCATAAAAATCACTATAAATTTTTAGCCCATCCCGAGAACTTTTATTTCTACACAAAAAACGACACCATGGTAGTTCTGCTGAAAACAATGTCAGTCCAGGTTAGTTCTAATCAAATCATACAAAAAACCATACAAAATTGTTATAAACATGGCATGAATATTTCATAAATTATAGATACGTTGGAGACATATCAATATCTCCAAGCTTAATTCCTGCTCGTCCTCAAGTAGGTAAATGATAAAAGAAATAATTTATGAAGTGTGAATGCTAGCATAGTGCATAAAGTTTATCAATGATAGTTCCAAACACTTTTTCTAGCATCATTATATATATATATATATATATATATATATATATATATATATATATATATATATATCATAAGCAATAGCTCATCTCATAAAACTTCTCATGATCAAGTAACAAGCTATTCACATGTTAAAGTATAGACCATAAAGTTTCTTGAAAACTAGCAAACTATGCTTTCAGTCACCAAACAATTGCAATTCATCTTATTTTTAGGAAGGGTCTATGTAAGAGCTTTGGTTTATCAAATTCCGCATACTCAACTATCATATAGTCTTCCATGATTGCTAACACTCAAAGCATATTTTTAGAACAAATAGCATCTGTCGAACACAGCGAAAGATAGGGGCTTAATGTTTCGCCTCCCAACTTATTTATCATATAGATAATTGTCAACAATGATAATTCATGATCAAATATATTTGAATGGCCATATATGCTTGGATCTTTCCCCACCACGTGATGCTTGCCAACTAAAGAATAATTGAGGTTGAACTAAGAAGGAATACTATTGACTCTTGCATAAAAGCAAATACATGAAAGTAAAACATAGGCCCTTCGCAGAGGGAAGCAGCGGTTGTCATGCGCCTTTTAATTTTGGATGTGCGAACCCTTAATGCAAAGGAATGTCACGTTGTATTGCCCTTTGTGATAGCAACCTTTATTATGCAGTCCGTCACTTTTATTTCTTTACCATCACAATTCCGTACAACGCTTATTTTCCCGTATAATAAAAGATCATACATATTTAGGAGCAATTTTCATTGCTTTTTGCATCGATGACAACTTACTTGAAGGATTATTCAATCCATAGGTAGATATGGTGGACACTCATGGCAAGAAATGGGGTTTAAGGGGTTTTGGATGCACAAGTAGTAGCTCTACTTACTATAAATTTTTGTCTAGAAAAAGATCCTAAGCAAGCACCACATGTTGGAGGATCCATAACAATATAACTTCTATAAAAATAGACCCAAACATAACTCATTATGTTGTCTTCCTTGTCCAACTTCAACTAATTTGCTCAAGTTTGAAAATATTAATGGGGCTCACAATCATAGAAGATGTCCAAGATAAATTTATATGTGAAATCTCTCTTCCTTCAATATTCTTTCATGAATTGTTCATGTGACCAATGTTGTGTTTGCTAACTTTCAATAAATTTTACCACCTATACTT